CTAATCCAACACATATCATATCTCATAACACATAACGTAAGGGTATTTTAGGAAATCACCGTTCGGGTGCTGACTGATCGTACACATTGCTTCTTTCCACTTTCTCAAATTCTTTTACTTTTTAGAAAAATTGTTTCTTGTATGAAAACTTTTTAAAATCCTCAGTTTGAGTTCAGATATGCCCAAAGGTGCATCCGAATCCCTCAAACCAAAGCTCTAATACCAACTTGTTACAACGTGAATTTTCAAAACAATTTTTAATTTTTCAAATAACATAAAAATCGTTCAATATTCTCAAATTCTCAAGTTTAAAAAATGTCATCACGATAAAAACATATCCCAAGATCATAAAACAAATCTCCTGCCAGTGTGTACGGATCATGCCGACGCCTTCCCGTGATCATCGCTAGTACCTGAAACACATAACACATAACACTGTAAGCATAAATGCTTAGTGAGTTCCCCAAAATACCACATACAACACATACATTACTAATGGCCACAACCTTATGGGATCTTCCGATCCATGTGTCTTAGGGGACTTCCATCCCAACTCTGGTAGACCTTCCGGCCCTACCCGTATGACCTTCCAGTCCTCATCCTCTTGACCTTCCGGTCCATACACTGTTGACATTCCGGTCCATATCATGGTACTCATAACGTAGCATAAAACATACATATCACATAGAAACACATATTACATACTCCGTATAACATATAAGACCTTACGGTCACGCATAGTTACCACCCTAGGTACAGGTAAGTGAGAAGACTCACCTCGTATGCTGTCTAATAACTCACGTGCTCGATATCCCTAAACCTCGTAACAATAACCTAGCCCCGCCTAAACATATAAGAAATCATCTCAAATTAATAACGGCTCTCCAGGCTAGACTAGTTCGTTCCAATGTTCTCTCAGAAGGCTAAAAGACCATTTTACCCTTCTAATGGTCCTAAAGTCTAAGTGTTGACCCAACCCTAAAAGTCAACGGTCAAACTTTGACCAGAATCGTCGAGTGCACATAGGTGACTCGGTGAGTCCAAGCGTGTACTCTGGATCTTTCTAAACCTCACTCGACTCGTCGAGTTAACCTTCCACTCGACGGACTACATCCGATCACGAGTCGCGGGACAACCCGACTTCAACTCATTGAGTCCCCTTATGGACTCGACAAGTTTCTTCAATGACAATCACCAAATCGACCTTCTTAGGTCAGGTCTGCTTCTCCAACCTATAGATCTAACTTCTCCATGTCCAATAATCATGTAAAGGTCAAATCTTGATACCCATGCATCGCAGACACACCTTCTGAGGTTAGATATGCTTCTCTAACCTAGTGATTGTGGGTAGTGTTGGTTGGATGATGAGTGATGTTGGTTAGTGGGTTTTTTAATTGTTTATAGCTATTTTTTGTTTTATATGAATATTATTTTATAATTTTAATCAAAAAAATTATATAGTCTAAATTTGTTCTCAAATATTATCGCAATAAGAAATGCTATCGATTGAACGTTCTCATATATATATATATATATATATATATATATATATATATATATATATATATATATATATATATATATATATATATATATATATATATAAACACTTTGTTTGATAATAAGAGTGGAAACATTCTTCATTTATTTTTACTACTTTGTTTGATAATGAAATCTTTTTATATTTTTGTTTGTTATAATTGGAGTTTTTCGCATTACAAAAAATATGGATTTTCTATCATTTTAATTTTTCTTAAGTAGTTAATTTATTTAAAAAACGTCCATTGAAAGTAATCTTCAATAAACCCCGAAATCATGCATGTGTCAGTAACTCTCCTCTAAAGTAATCCGTTGTAATCGTCGCTAATTCTTCAGAAAGAATTCTGTCACTACATTGCTGATATCCATAGCCATCGACACAAACAAGGGGTTGTTTATTTTTCAGAAAAACCACTTTTCACCATTTTTTGTTGTGCCACACATCACATGTATAATACTTGACATTTCGTAATGAATTTGTTTTTTTATAAGACCTCTACCTTGAAAATTGATGCACGTGTAGTGTATGGCACAACACTGGACCATCATCTTCAAATCGGTTCTCACTTTACTTTAAGTTATATTATTCAATATAAATTACTTTTAATTTTTTTCAACAAGTTTATTATTTTAATAATATTACAAAGTGTATTATAAATAATTCAAATTTATTTTATATAATTTCAAAACCGTTTGGTAAATTTATATAGTTGTTTTTTTGTGTTACATTATCTATAAATATTAATAAATTCTAAAATTAACCGTTAAAATTACAAAATATATTGAAGTTAACAGGAAAAATAATTATCGTCTTCTAAAATTTAACAAAAATAACATATTTTTTGCTAAATGATAGTTTTATTTGTTGTTATTTACCAAATACTATGTTTAATTATTTTATATAAACATTTTTAAAAATTATATCATCACAAATCACAATGATCTTTTTATTTGATTTGCATATGATTAAACTAAATAGATTTTTTTATTTAGAATTATTTTTAACTATTATATAATTAATTTCAGTTTATTGCAGCGATTTACGGACATTAAAAAACAAAACATATTTTTTATTATAGATTGCAGTCGTTTGGTTTACATCTTCTTCTACAGAGGATTGCAGATATGGTTCGCAAAGATCAAACGTTTTCGCTTCGAAAAAACAAACAGCATCTATGATGTTATTTAGTTGATTGAGCATTTAGTTCGAAGTTGGCACAACACAATTACACAAAAAGTACCGGGTTAGAGTTGGGGATTTCTGTCACTAACACCCGTTGCTATATCTAAAATATTAGCCCTAATAGAATAATTATTTGTTTTTTATATGCAATACGCCTTAAAACTTGAAAGACCACTTTGCAAGATCCATGAGTATAAAAATTTGCATGATTGCATCACATGGAATTGCATGCCATGCTTATTCTTTGCAGAGCAATATTTATTAAATTGTCTAAACTTGATACAGTTCATGCTTTAAACTTCTGTATTGACGAGTTAAGGAAAAGTAAGCTAATAGAATGATCATTCCGCTGACGTGAATTAGCATATCATCAAAGTTTAGTGTATCAAATTTGATCATGGACAATTGGATACCATTATTCAAAATAATGAACATATATTATTCAACTTTAGTGTATCAAATTTGACTCAAAAACACCCATTACGAGACAAGGAATCAAAGCATATTATTATATAATAGGTAATAATTTAATGCACGCATTATATGTCTACTAAATAATATGAATAATATAATAATATCAAATATATAGGAACGAATCTGATCGTTTCTCGATCTGCTGCCATGATCTCATTGAGGCTATATACTTTAATAAATTGTTGCCTCCCAAAAGTAATTAACTAATTAAAGCCAAACTGTAAATTTTACTCATCTTCATATCCGGTTAATTTGTTGGTCAAAACGACATCACATGAAAGATGCGGATCCAAACTCTGGGTTCCCAAGAAATTTGCTAAACATGTTATTACTGATCAAGACAAAATAAATCACCAGTCCAGTAATACAAAATTATTAAACCCTATTTTACGATCAAACAAGATCTAGATATAATGAAATAGTTAATCAGATTTTCTGCAAAGGGTACGTACCCAACCCATTAACAAATGAACTGATAATCAACCAAAGAGCTGAACTACTTCGATTTGGGAGAGAATCACAAGATATGATACCAATTACATGTTGATATAACTAATGAGCCAAAAACAGTAAACATTTTGGCAATAACATACTTTTCCAATGATATGCAAAATTATGTCACACTGATATTATCCCAATCGATCCAAATCCATTAAAACGAATTGATAATGCGGAACAACATCTCTAATCAAAGGAGACCACTAATATATAACAAGATGCAACAATAAGTAACGCAATAAGTATGAAGACAAACACGCCGATATTTACATGGAAACCCTAAATCGGCAAAAACCATGAGTGGAGGAGACCACGGTGAGATCCACTTCAGATAATAATGTTAACAATGCAAATAAATGGGTAAAATACAAGTGTTTAGGCCGTAGGGATAAATGTGAAGTACATATGAGAGAATATGGAAGGGGGTGATTTTCTAGGGTTTTAGAAATAAGGTAAGTCTCACATGACTCAAAAGAACCAAAAATGGTATATTAACCCGGAAGGTGTCAAAGTTGTTTCGTCGATAGCTCATGAGACTTTGTTAAACTCGCCTGGAAGAAAATAACATTGCCCTCTATGTAAGGTCATGAGCTAGTTCCTATATCAGATTCGCCTTCAATTTTGTCATGGTCTAGTTTTTGTCATAGTTTTTAGGTTTGGCCTTATCGGTAGTATCAGGTCAAACAACTCACATTCATATCCATTGAATGCATGTAAGGGGTTATTTGGTAGTTGCTGATTGAGTCAAATCTGACTGGAACAGAGGTTGACTAACTCAGAATTCTGACTAATTTAGCGTTGACTGAAACTTGGATATTTGATTGTACATCCAACTGACCATGATGAATGATCAAAATAATCATACTACCCTTTTGTTTTATTACAACAATGCACTTAAAAAAATCTACCTAATTACAACAACTTACCCATCAAATTTCAACATCTAAAGATTTGACTAAACATTTTAAAAGATTCTTTGACATAGCCATTGCTATATATTGTTTATATTTGTAAAAAGCAAAGTACATTGTTATATTCTATGCCCTTTAGTAAGCAAAAGTTTTTTAAACACATATTCAAACCAAATATCCCTATACAAAAACACAAATTGCACCTGTAACTATAAAACTACAATAAGTTAAAAGAATACATCATTTCATTTCATTACTCCTCAACCCCTCCCCCTCCCCCCCCCCCCCCCCCAATTTCCAAACATTCAAACGAACGATTGTCCAACACATTTATGAAAAACTATATATATATATATATATATATATATATATATATATATATATATATATTATGCCTTTTATGAACAATCTTTGTTTACCACACATTCGATTCATCAATAACAACTTTGATCTTCTCATTTCCTTCAGTGGATACAAGTTCAATAAACATGTCATTCCTATTTTACATAAAACACACCAACAATACCAACATATAATTATGAATCTATGTATGAAAAGTAACAACAAAATATACACCTCTAAGCAATGACGAGGCTATATGATACAATGGTGGGTCAATTGACCCACCTAAAAGATAAAATTTTACAAATTATATTTAAAAGTATTTAGGACATACCTAAATTATTTTTGTTGACCTACCTAATGTGTTTAGAAAACAAAGAAAAGAAAAAAGATATAAATTATAAACAATAGAAGACATATTATATTTTTGACATAAAATAGTCCCATATTGACATCGATAAGAAAATAGCTAAGGGTTTCTATTATAAATAAATACTTACATTTTCATATTTTCACATAATAAGTTTGTTGATGTTTAATTTAAACCAGTTAACTCCAAATATAATATGGTTTTTGTTAAAAAAACAAACAAGGAAGAACCAATTTTGGTTCGGTCCTTTCATCACCATTTTTTATTCATGCCAAAATTGTTATTTATCCAGTTGAACTGACCCAGTTGAACTGACCCAGTTGAACTGGGTTTTCTCTTAAACCGTCTCAGTTAAACTCGGTTAGTCAACCGCGTAGTTTTCTAATTTAAACTTGCCACTACCTAGAAGGCATGATAACTATGAACAATGTGTACCAACCAAAGTCATTGCAACAATCTCTTGTGTTTAGTGATAATTATATGATTAGTTTCCAACTTAATAAAAGGCAAACAAAGGATGAAATAGTACATATAGGAAAACCACATGAGTACTAAACCACACCATTTAATCAGCTAATAAAATCACATAAAATTAATGTAATCAGACCAATTCAACTCAATAGAGACTAGAAAACTAGAAACCTTTCTGACCAAGTGCTTGTACATCTGTCCAAGTCTATTTCGATATGATTCAAGTCACTTTTGCCAATTTGAATCAATAGTCAGGTTGCCAAAAATTTCCATCAAACCAATGAATTCACCAATTCCATCCATAAACAAGAAATCAAAAATCAATCAATGATGCTTCAGATCAAACTTTAAACAAATTAGGGAAAAGCACCATGTTCAATTACATACCTTACCTGTGAAGGGTGGAGGACAAGGGTGGCCGATGATCTGTGATGGAGTATGTTCAGTCTTCCTGGTTGTGTCGATGGGTAGAGGAGGATGGCTACACCGATGATGATGGAAGGCCGATCACACTCCAATGAAGACAAAAACGGGAAAGGGATAAAGGGTTGGGTCGTTCATGATGTAGTGTTGAAAGAATCAGGGTAATGTGGGGAATGTTGCAGTCATTTCCTTTTTAACCTACGACCAAATCATACATTTTCTCATGACCAAATTAGCTCATTAGAAAGGGTTCGATGTGATTAGCTCTTTTATCAAACATGCTGACCGGACTGAGTCAACCAAAAGAGCTTACCAGACCCCGTCAACTAAATGTCTAAAATGCCTTAACTTAATCTATCTTCAGAAAACCATTCGATATATATATATATATATATATATATATATATATATATATATATATATATATATATATATATATATATATATATATGTCCGATGTAATTCGTAAATTTAGCCGCTCATCATGATCGTGTGAACCACATAAATATATTGTGTCTTTCTTTTTTATTTAGCGTTATTATTTTAAATCATCTATCGATTGTTAAATTGATCAAACCTTAACATTGTAGACCTCTCTCTCTCTCTCTCTCTCTCTCTCTCTCTCTCTCTCTCTCTCTCTCTCGTGTAATTCGTAAATTTAGCCGCTCATGATGATCATGTGAATCACGTAAATATATTGTGTCTTTGTTTTCCGTTTTGTGTTATTATTTTAAATCATCTATTGATTCTTGAAGTGATCAACATTAACATTGTAAACCTTGAAGTTGTAGACTTTTGAGAATTTGTTCAAGTCACCCATCCCATCAGCTAAAAAAATTTGCTCTTTGGTGCCTCTAAGAGGTTTCATCTAGATCGTACGAGAGTTTACCGAAACCAATTAGACCATCAAGTCTAAGTTTGAAGGCTATATATATATATATATATATATATATATATATATATATATATATATATATATATATATATATATATATATATATATATATATATATATATATATTTCTTAAAAGATGTCGAAGGCTGTTTTTTTTTTTTTTTTTTTTTTTCATTTTTATAAAAAATCATTTGACTCGATTCAGGTAATTTTAAATGATATAGACATGGGGGCGTTCAGGGAGGAAAAAGTAGACAACTACACGTGTCCAATTTTTTTAGAGGCCTGATGGGTACCAAACTGTACATCTTTTAGGGTAGTTTTTATTAGCATTTTGCATCATTTTTTATGCTTTTTCATTTACACTAGTTTAAATAATGTTTAACTCATGTATTTCATAAGAATTTTAGTACTGCTCATGTTTTAGTGTCTATTTTAGGTGATTTGAAGTGGGGCAGTAGTTTGATAGTTCTTTGGAGATTATTTGGATCCAAAATGCTAAAAAAAAGACCAAATACTAGCTATTTCTCACCAAACATGGGTCGTTATTCACTTACGAAACAAAACAAAAGATTTCTAACTTTTCTAGGTATTTGAAAATTTTGGCCGTGAAGCACAAGTCATCCTTACCTCCTACTTTCTTTATTTTAGTTATTTTTAACCTACGAAGTCCAAGCACGAGTCGTGATTCCCAAGCATGGGCCGTGCACCTCAAGATTTTGACTTTTCTTATTTATTTTGGATATTAAAGTTGCAATGACCTGACACGGGTCATGCTTACTACCAGAACCCTAATTTGCTGTCTAAACTACTATATAAATACCATATACCCTCTAAGTCAATTCCCGAGATGATTCCATATGACAAAAAACACTTCTGAATGCGATTTCTGATACCTTTCAGTGATTTCTGGTGACCTAAAGGCTGTGAATCATCTCCTACATTTAGTTTAGTAAGATTTAGTAGTTTAATGTTTCTTTTTATTGTTTTAGATCAGATTTTAGCCATGTCTAGCTAAAACCCTAGTTTTCAGTTCTGCATTAGACTAGTACTTTTCATGTGATTAATTTTCAGATCTAGTTTATGATTCGTATTTCTATCTAGATTTTTCAGTTTTAAGCTTAATGAAGGTTTGATTTTAATTCTTTTTAGTTTGATTACCTAAGTAGAGTTTTGCTCATTCTAGTTAATCAGTTAATAGAATCTGTAATTGTTCTGATCAAATGGTAATAAGTAACAAGTATCAGATTTGTTCTGTGTTTGGGATTTACCTCTGATATAAACTGAAATTTCATACTTTTACTCTTCTAAGCTTATGAGAAGTATTGGGTATTGCTGAGAATTTTACACAAAACTTAATGTAAATTTTTTTTATCTTAACTAAGAGTTTGTTTAATTAAACAGTAAAAAGTTAAAGCTAACTAAATAGCTTATTTTGGTTAATTTAAATAGGTAAAAAGGATTATACTAGAGTTTGTCAGTCCTTTACTAGCTTAGATAGAACGTATTATGAATAACCAGATATGTGTTGATTGATTGATTACGAAAGTCACAGCAGAGTTGAATTTGTTTTTTATTATTGAACTTTTTTAGTTTATTTTCACTGATATTTAGTTTAGTTATTCAAAAACCCTTTTATAATTTTTTTATTTACTAGAATGTGCCTGATGTAAAAAAGCATTGACCAATAGACCATATACCTGAGGATTCGACTATGCTTCTATGTGCTATACTATTAGTGCAATCAGCAGTACAATTTTATTTGCTTAATATGTCTGCAACAACATGTTAACAGGGCCTATTTTTTCTTTATCATATATATATATATATATATATATATAATATATATATATATATATATATATATATATATATATGTGTGTGTGTGTGTGTGTGTGTGTGTGTGTGTGTGTGTGTGTGTGTGTGTGTGTGTTAAGTAGGAACTCAAAAAATTGTAGGAACCGCAGAGATAATTTTTGTCCTTAAGATTGAAAAAAATAAATGGCCAATATTTGATTTTATTTGTCGCTAAAATCTCGCAAGATGATAAGGTATTTTGATAATTAATTGTGAGATTTGATAATTTCCAGAGAATGTTAACAAATGCAAAAATATTAAAAGGAAAAAAGGAAAAAAAAAATTACCCACATGGCCTCTCCGGACGCTGATAGTGTCCCCTCCTAACATGATAAGTGTTTAGGCGCTTATTGGCGGGTAGATTCTTTTTCCACTAGTTTAGTTTTCAACCGTAACCTTTTTTCTTTTTTTGAAAGAAAAAATTAAAAAAAAAATAAATTTCTTAAAATTTAATTCTCTATAAAATGAGCACAAATATGAAAATTGGAAAAAAATATATTATTTATATTTATGAAAAAACCCAGAAAAAAATTCTCCATAAAATAAAATAATTTAAGGAATACTTCTACTCACTATTCTATTGACTTTGTAAAAATAATTTTTATAAAATAAGGTGTTTTAGAAAACAAACTTAATTTTAAAATATTAAAGATTTTTTAAAAAAAATATTACACATAATATGATCCAAATAAAGTTGATTCAAAAATATTATGATTCAATATGATAATGATCCTTAACTAGTTATGATCTAAAAATATTTTGATTCAAATATTTTATTATCCTTAATTATTAAATTTTTGATGATTCAAAAAATATAATGATCCAAATATTATATTGAAGAAAACTTTATTTAATTTAATATATTATGATCCAAATTAATATAATCCAAAAATGTATGATGCATAATATCGTTAGTTTTCAAAATACTGTGATTGGTGATCCAAAAAGTGACCATCTTTAGCTAAGAAACCGCAATCTGGATTATTGGTGCTGCCGTAGAAGAAGTTGACTACCGAAGTTCGAGAATATCTTTTGTGAACCGCAACCGCAACCGCAACAACTACCGCAGAGATGAATGATGAATGGAGACTTTCATGTTACTTTAATAACTTAGCGTGTTTGTTTTGTTTTGTCCGCTGAGCCGTACATGGTCACTGAAGTCAGTAGAGTAGTATTTGTTTATTTCCAATGTAACTTTTCGAGACTCTATAAATAGAGACCCCTTATTCATGTATCAAACACACCTTCACGATCTTTCTGAATTATTATTGCATTACAATGTTCATTCATCTCTGTCTATTATCTTTCAATAAACCGAGTTGTGTTCATTCATGTATCAAACACATCCTCTTCACCTTAAGTTGTTCGCATTTACTAACTTGTGTTTGAATGCAAACCTCGTAATGAATCAACATGGTGTCTACTTGATATATCTTGTTGTCATTTATATTTCCTTTACATTTCCGAATCTAACAATCTAACATTTCTAACTTATTATTGTTGAGTTAACAAGATCCTTGAGATTAACTTATTCTGCAGCTTATTATCTTGTACTAACGTTTGTTCTAGTGTTCTTCAAGGTTTTTCTCTCAACAATTAGTATTAGTGACAACGTGGTTTCTTTCTAAACAAAACTCTGATTTTAGAAAGCCTTCTATACCACCGAATCTCATTCTTAAAAAAAGGAAACATGGCACAAACTTTATCATTGAATGTTTCCAACGTTGTTGGAGGCTCTAACAGAGCTCCAATACTTGTTGCAAGTGAACACTGCCACTTGTCTCAAAGAATGGAAAGGTATCTTAAGAGGCTCGGTAGAGATGTTTGGAGGTCTGTGGAAGAAGGACCTCATGTCCCAGTTCTTGCTCCTGCTCAAGCACGACTAGGAGGAGGTCAGGAAGCCTTGAATCAACTAACAAATGATGATCTTGAAAAAATGGAGAAAGATTCCATGGCCTTCTATGAAATCTCGTGTGATGTTGATCCAAACCACTTCGACATCATCATCAACTTCAACTATGTCAAGGAGATCTGGGATGTGTTCACAAATCTTTATCAAGGGTCTGAACAAGCTCACGAAAGAAACTCACCACTGCACTCAATGAATTCAACAACTTTAAAGTTCTTCCCAGTGAAAGTCTTGAAGATCCGTTCTAAAGGTTCAACCTCATAATCATAAAGCTATCAAATGTTGGTACTGTTCGAAGCAATCACAAGACAAATCTTCAATTTCTAAATGGTTTGGGTAGACATTGGACCAGAAAAGATGATAGTCCAAGGAGATCGAAAAATACACATTCTTTCACTATTCAAACTCTACGGTGAATTACAAGTACAAGAATAAATGGTGTTAAAACATTGTGCATACTTGGGAGTACCACTTTCTTTGATGGCTTAAACTCCACAGTTCAAACCTCCTCAGTACCTATATACTGTTGAGTCATCTTACCAACACTCATATGACAGTCCACTGCAGTCATATGAAGTCGATGCAGATATAGATGATGAAGAAGAGTTTCAAAATGATATTGCCTTATTCCTCTCATGAGGAAGAAGAAGAAACTGACAACTACCGCAGTAAAGGAAAATTTTGCATGGTGGCAACTAGTGAAGATGATGGATCAACAAGCAAGCCCAAAGAAGAACTATTGCTACATGGCAAAATATGGAACTCACAGCATCGTTGAACAAGTACAAATTATGATTCAGTCTAATAATTACAACATGCATGATTGTAAATCGTACTTCGAAAGACTTTAATGACACTTGTGTTGTCATCCTTTCAGACTACAACAAATCCTTATATGAAATGAACATAGCTTCCCAAGAGATGTAACTGATGGGTTATGAGCATTCTAACATTCCTATGGTGTACATGCAACCCTAGAAGCCTTGGATCTTTGTTTTCTCTATTATACATGCAAATATGATATTTCCAAGGTTCTCATCCTAACTAACATACAATGGGGTACTTGTAATATAAAACTTAGTGGGATGACATACCTTTTTCTTGTGTTTGACTCCTTGGAGCTTCAAGAGCCTAACACCAATAATGTGGATGCCTCAAGTGGAATCACAAATCACCAAAAGCACCTTGGAAAGCTTGAGACAATATT